ACCTACTGAAAGACTTTGCCTTTTTTAGATATTTGTCGAATTTTAAAATTAATTTTTCCAAATCTGCCCGCCCTTAACATTACTTTGTCTGCTGAGCTGGTCTCTGCTTGTGAGGCCCAATTCCCATTTCATTGGGAAAGGGATTCCCTAACTTATCTCGGTATCCAGCTCACCAGTAACCTTGATGACCTTTATGTGAAAACTATCTTACCGCTCTCTTCGCTCTATGCAAGAAGACCTCAATAAATGGCACCGTCCCTGTTTCTCGTGGTTTGGAAGGGCAGCGATCATTAAAATGAATGTACTTCCCCGTCTCCTGTATCTCTTCCAAACATTACCAATTCACTTACCTCTTGCTTTCTTTGCTTCTTGCAAAAGACTGTGTTCTCTGTTCCTTTGGAGCCACAAACGTCCACGTATTGCCTACTCCCAATTAACCCTCTCTAAACTTAAAGGGGGCATAGGATTTCCTGATCTTTACCGCTACTATTGGGCTTGTCATCTTTCCCGGATAGTTGATTGGCACGTTCATACTGCCTCCAAAGACTGGATATCTATAGAGAATGCTTGCTCGCCCTTCCCCCTGGCATCGATTCCTTGGCTCTCACCGAAAAACACACGCCACAAGCTCTTCTCACCCATCCTTGGTGGGACCTACGTTAAAAATTTTCCGATCGGCTTGTAGATCTGCTGCCATTTCTGACACACCAAACCCCCCCTGACCCCTATACGCCTCAACCCTGACTTCCCCCCTGGGATGCATAAAGATTTTTTAATGAAACACTGGCCGCACAAACAGATCTTAGTGAAACATTTTCTCCACAAAGGCAAGGTGAAAACGCTCAGTGAACTGCAGGAAAGCCTGGGTATTCGCGAATTCCCTTTCTGGGTATATTTCCAGATCAGACATTATCTGCTCTCTCATAAACCCCCTCATAACTGGCATCGCTCTCTTACCCCATTTGAATCTGCATGCGCGAAGGCTGAACCACGGAAACATCTGATCTCGGAGATCTACCCACTTCTAGTGGAGAGCCGGTCTTATGACTCCCTCCCCGCGTGTCGGGCTTGGAAGAGAGATCTTAATGCTGAGTTGTCGGACTCTGACTGGGACCTGGTTTTCCAATACTCTCATAAATGTTCCCTCAATGTCTCGACACAAGAAAACAGCTACAAAATAGCCTCTAGATGGTACCGAACTCCCTCAAGAATTCATCATTTTAACCCCCGCCTTCCCCAACAGCTGCTGGAGATGCGGGACCCCGGATGGGTCCTTTCTTCACATTTGGTGGTCTTGCCCACTTCTTCAACCATTTTGGCAGGAGGTCCATAGGTTAGTAGTGTCTATAACTACTTTACCCTTAGCTCTCTCTCCTGCCCAATTCCTCCTCCATCACTCTTCCCTTCCCAGGGCTCAGTATTTTAAATCATTAGCCATGCACATGATCAACGCAGCCAGACTCTGTATTCCGGTTCTATGGGGCTCCACACGCTCTCCCTCTATCCGTGAATGGCTCACTCGAGTGGGTAAAACGGCGGACATGGAAGAACTGGTTGCGACTGCCCTCGATACTCCTACAAAATACTCTCATGTATGGGCCTGCTGGACCCATTTTCTGACTACCCCGGAATATCGATCCCTCATGGACCAATCTGTCTAAAACCTAATTTGGACTTCCTGATAGTGTTATTTAGTGGTATTTGACCTGAGGGTGTCCTCATACTCCCCCCTGTGTTACACACGCTTTCCTTTGACGCCGCTGATAGCTTAGGTTCTACCCACTCCCCTACTGTTTGTCTGGAGGATAAGATCTTTTTGTCGGTTGTCCCTTCTCTTATTTTGCCCTCCCCACTTGCTTCCCTTCCTCCTCCCCCCCCCCCCCCCCCCCCCCTCCCCCCCCCCCCCCCCCCCCCCCCCTTTTTTTTTTTTTTTTTTTTTTTTCTTTTCTTCTCTCTCTCCCCCCCCTTCTTCTTTCTGTCCCCCCCCCCTTTTTTTTTTTTTTTTTTCTCTCGCCTTCTCTTTTCTTTCTTTCATATGCTTTTACACGTTTTGGACACTTTTTCCGATAGCACACTGAGTATGCGGTCAGCATCACCTCCCGCAATTCGTTCGCGGTTCCCACGACAATTACTCCTACATTCGCACAATTCCACCATCGTATTCTGTAGTATTGACTCTCACATAGGCATCGTACTGCTCTTTTCCCCCCTACAGATTTTTATCGCTAGACGTTATGGTGGAAGGCCAGACGTCTCTTTATTTTTAGCACTTGACAAGCATACCTAAATATATTGCTGGCACAACCCTGTCGTGGCCTAGTTCATCCACACTGTTTGGTCTTGCGTTGGACCTCATTTGCCTTTGTATGATTTATGTTTTGCTGTTTGTCCTATGTGCATTTCCTCTGTACATTTTCGTGTGAAAATTTGTATCTTGTTTTCAATAAACTTTGTTTTTTGGAAAAAAAAAAAAAAAAAAAAAGGGAAATAACAAAACAAAAGTCCATCCAGGATTCCCACACAGGGTTTCAACTTCATTCAGCAAACATAAATGAAAATTAGCAAGCCACTTGGCTCTCGGGTCAGCAGTATCTCTGCTTGTTTTGGTCTCCCAGACCACTTACTATTCAAGCTCTCTCTCTGACATAGGTAACAGCACCTTGCTGTTCAAGCCCACATGGCCTTTTGACAGTGATTTCCCAGTATCTCCAGCTAGCACCCACCAGAGACTTCCGGATTCTCTCCAGCCCCCCTGGACTCACTGGCCTCCACAGCTCCCTCTGTCCTCCAGACCCTCTCTTGGTCTCCCAGACTCTGAGTTGGCCATATTTTCCCAGTCCTTGGGCCCAGAATCCCCCTCACACAGGTTGTAGTTTCCAACAGGAACTCACAGCTGTCCTGACAGGGTTCTGTCTTCAAACAACTCCAACTCTCACCACCTACTGCTATCACCAGCCCATCGTTATAAGGGCCTTGTGCACCTGGGCACACATCCTACTGATGTCCACAACACCCGGACACTGGGTTGGAGATTCCGCTCAAGACTCTTAAGAATCTTCAAACTACAGAGCCCCATCCCAAAATTACCAAGGCTTGGAGAAAGCTGCAAAAGCAGTTTTCTCCACTCAAAACTATGCTCTGTCGCTCTGCAGTCAGCAGATATGTAAATTCTGTGTCTTTTCCCTGGCCATTTCCATAGTGACAGAGTCTCGCGCTGCCACAGTCTGTAGCTTGAAGCTTGTGGGCCCCAATCCAAAAGTTGACCTGGGGCCCCCCAAACTACCACCCGCCGCTTCCACCACGTGGCAAGATACTCCCAAGTGGCTAAAGAGTTATTTCTGCTACAGAAATAGGAGTCCAACAGAGTGGGCGAGATTATATGAGGGTGCACAGGGAGTTTTCCCTGCAAAGCTTTTGCCAGTGTCTAGTCACCTGAAGGTAGCAGCATATTACACATAGGGGGTTATTTACTCAAACTGCTGGAGAGTGCAAAATCTGGTGTAACTCTGCACAGCATCCAATCTGCTTCCAAGTGAAATTGCCAAAACTTAAATGAACAAGCCGAAGTTAGAAGCTGATTGGCTACTATGCACAGCTGCACCGGATTCTGAGTGCACCATTTTTAGTAAGTCTATTACTCAGTTTCCTGTAATATACTCCAAAATATGGAATTCACTGACAAGTCAAAATTCCATTTTTTTTCTGGTACACCTCCCATGAAGGTTAAATTAGATTGTAGATGCATGTATTTGGACATCCGCTATTGCAAGAGTTCCAGTACTTGTAGATACCACAATTAAATTATGAGGTACTTGGGAGATTTATTTTATCATTGTATAGTCAGCCCTTGGGCTAGCCAGTCCTGAACAAATTAGCAGCTATTTGAAATCTACGCCACTTGTAGATTATTTTCCATACAGTGGAATGATTGATTTCAAATAATTTGATGATCTTTTTAAATCCCTGCACAACCTTCTTTGTGAAGGCCTTGGAGAGCTCTTTTAATCTTTGAATGATGTTACCATACATGTCTGTTACAAAGAGACCCTAGATATCTGAGAGCAAATGAGAACTGTTCCACCTGCATTAAGTAGCTTCTAATCATTGGAACCTAATCTAGAATATCTGATTCTGATTTCATGGATTTGTGATTGTGGTAAATGTAGGGATGTACTTGCTTTTTCCACATGACTAATCTGCATTTTTGTTCTTTTAGATGATGAGAATGAGGACACCATATTAATTTTTATATAATTTATTTTAAAATATCACCTTTATTTGTAGGCAGTGTTTGAATGGAGATCTAATCTTTACTTGTTCAAAAATGTTGAAAAAGTCAACAATTTCCATGGGGTGTACTTACATTTTCACATGACTCTATATACTTTGTTAATCAGTTTTTATGCTTGTATCTATTTTTGAAAGCTGTATTCAGTTTTAACTATAGTATAATCAATGACACGTGCATCATTAAATCAAAGATCCTTACAACATCAGGGCTCTTTTGGTTGACTATTTAGGTTTCCCCTGACATGAACACAGGCCAAGCGGTATAAACTGTGTATACAGACATTTGTATGTTTAGAAAAAATTCTTAAATGTAGCAGTCATCACATCGGTGTTCAATAATGGTGCATGTCCTCTCTGTGGGCAGAAGATAGGTCTTCAGATTGCATTTGATGAAGGGGTCCTGTGAGACTCCGAAACGTTGCCTTGCTGTAACTATGTGATCGTTCATTGAAACTTTTGGACCCATATTGGTGATCCTCAGTGTGCTGGTGATATTCTCCCTTTTTGATTCTGTTCCAGCTGACGGTCGCTGCAGCACCCACTTATACACACAGCCATTTTAAGGCAGGAACATGTGTGTTGGGATTGTACACTTGCATTCTGGCCATTAGAGGGCACCATCCTTGGTTCAGAACACCTGTCTGGGGACATACTGTGAATCTGGCAGTGTGCATGTTAATGAAAGGATTCCCACATGGATGGTATATTAATTGTATACTATACTTTTATCTTGTCAGTGGGACCAGCCTAGTGCTTTGTGCTTAGTGTTTGATGTAACAAGTGAGACATCTTTTACTGACTGTTCAAGATGGCTGCAGAGAGTTAAATCCAAAACCATGAGCCCTCACCTCCCAGGTTAGTGACAACTGCCAACTTAATTTTTCATATCTTGTTGATATTATTATTATTATACAGTGTTTATATAGCGTCAAAAAGTTTGCTCAGCGCTGTATAATATAGTGGGGGACAGTACATGAGACAATACAGTAACAAAACAATATACGAGAGGTTTGAGGGCCCTGCTCTTTTGAGCTTACAATCTAGGAGGGAGGGGATAGTGGTACAGGAGGAAGTGGCTGTGGGGGATGGAGTGGTAGGAGGAGATTGGCTGTTAGGTGAGGGTGGGGTAGGCTTCCCTGAAGAGATGGGTTTTCAGGGTGTGCCTAAAGGTGAGGAGGGTAGGTGACAGTCTGATGGATTGGGGTAGTGAGTTCCAGAGGATGGGGGAAGTCCTGGAGAATTCCTGCAGTCGGGCGTGGGAGGAGGAGACCAGGGAGCTAGAAAGTAGGAGGTCTTGCGAGGAGCGAAGAGTACGGGTTGGATGGTATTTGGGTATCAGGTCGGTGAGGTAGTTTTGGGCAGTGTTATGAATGGCTTTGTACGTCAATATTAGTAGTTTGAATTTAATGCGTTGGGCAATTGGAAGCCAGTGGAGGGAATGGTAAGGTGGATGAGTCTGGCCGCTGAGTTCAGGATAAACTGAAGCGGGGATAGTCTGTGATGAGGTAGGCCGGTGAGGAGGAGGGAGTTGCAGTAGTCGAGTCGTGAGATAATATGGGAGTGAATGAGTTGTTTAGTAGTGTCTGGAGTTAGGAACGTGCGTATTTTGGAGATGTTGCGGAGGTGGAGCCTGCATGAGTTAGCCAGCGATTGGACATGGGGTTGGAAGGACAGATTTGAGTCTAGAGTGACACCTAGGACTTTGGCTTGCGGGGTGGGGCTGATGGTGATGTTGTTGGTCGTGATGGAGAGGGTGGGGGCGTGGGCTGGGGGGAAAATTAGGAGCTCAGTTTTGGAAAGGTTTAATTTGAGGAAGTGAAGTGACATCCAGTCCGATATGTCGTTCAGTAGGCAGGTGATTCGGGCAGAAACTGAAGGGGTGAGGCGAGGGGTGGAGAGGTAGATTTGCCTGTCATCGGCGTAGAGGTGGTAGTTGAAGTTGAGTGTATCCGTTGACCAAGGGAGGAGGTGTAGATGGAGAAGAGAAGGAGCCCGAGGACAGAGCCTTGGGGGACCCCAACACAGAGAGGGGGAGGTGGCAGCGTTATAGGTGACGCTGAAGGAGCTTTGGGATAGATAGGAGGAGAGCCAGGAGAGAGTGGAGTCTCTGATGCCAAGAGAGTATAGTTTATTAAGGAGGAGGGGGTGGTCAACTGTGTCGAAGGCCGCAGAAAGGTCGAGGAGTAGGTGGACTTAGTAGTGGCCATTAGCTTTGGCGGTGAGCAGGTCATTAGTGATTTTGAGTAGGGCGGTTTCGGTGGAGTGTAGGGGACGAAAGCCAGACTGTAGTGGATCGAGGAGGTTGTTGTCAGTGAGGTGGGAGCTTAGGCGATTGTAGACTAAGCGCTTAAGGAGCTTGGATGTAAATGGCAGCAGGGAGATGGGTCTAAGGTTGTTTAGGTCGGTGGGGTCTAGGGAGGGTTTTTTGAGTATGGGAGTGATGTGCGCGTCCTTAAGGGGGGAGGGCAATGCGCCAGTAGAGATGGAGAGATTGAAGATGTGGGTGAGGGAGCGTAGGATGGAGGAGGAGGGAGACCGGAGGCGTTGTGTGCGGACAGGGTCAAGGGGGCAAGTGGTGAGGCGGGCTTCTGAGAAGACCTTAGTGATCTCTTCAGTGGTAGCAAGGCTGAAGGAGTGGAATGTTGGGGAGGTTTTAGTGTGCGTGATGTTAGGTGTGGTGGGGATCAGGGCAGTTGCGAGGTCAGAGGAGGGGAGAGTTGAGGGGGTTATCGTGGGAGGGAGGCTAGGTGGAGAGGTAGATTGAGCATTGGCGATGTCTTTACGGATTGCGTCGATCTTGTTTTGGAAGTGGTTGGCAATCTCATGGGCGGTGAGTGAGTTAATGGGTGGAGGTGGGGGGGAGAGAGTAGGGAGTTGAAAGTGGAGAAGAGCCGGCGAGGACAGGTGGAGAGGGTATTGATGAGGGTTACGAAGTAGGCTTGTTTGGCGGCGTGGAAGGAGCAGGTGTAGGTGAGGAAGGCGGATTTGTAAAGGGTGAACACTTGAGGGGATCTGGTTTTGCGCCACAATCGCTCCAGCGCACGACTGCATCGTTTGAGATTTTTGGTGTGGTTGTTCTGCCAGGGTTGAAGCGGTCGGGGTCTAATGCTGCGTGTGGCTAGGGGTGCGAAGGAGTCTAAGGCAGCTGACAGCAAGTTGTTATACGCAGTAGTGGCCAGGTCAGTGCAGGACAATGGAAAGCTACTGTCGTAAAGACGATTAGCTGCAGAGTGGAGAAGGGCCGGGTTCAGGTTGCGGAGGTTACGGATGGTGATGGTTTGACGTTTGGGGGGGTAGGTGTTTGAGGACGGGGAGATGGAGAACGTAATGAGGTTGTGGTCAGAGAGAGGGGGTAAGGGGTGTTTGTGAGGTTGTGGGGGGTGCAGAGATGAGAGAAAACGAGGTCCAGGGTGTTCCCGTCGGTGTGGGTGGAGGACTGTGTGCACTGTGTGAATGCAAAAGAAGAGGTTAAGTGGAGTAGTTGGGATGTAGCCGGGTTGTTGACGTTGATAGGGATATTGAAGTCGCCAAGGATGATGGTGGGTAGCCAGGCGGAAAAATCGTCGAGGAAGCGGGATACGGGTCCAGGAGGCCGATAGATTACTGCAATCCTCAGAGCGGTGGGAGAGAAGAGCCGGATGCAGTGGGCCTCGAATGAGGAGAGGGAGGGTTTGGGAGGACCTGGAAGGTGCTCAGCGGTAACAAGAGCATGCCTACCCCACCACCTCTACGACCGCTCGGTCTAGGTGAATGGGTCCAGATGAGACCTCCATAGGAAAGTGCCGCAGGGGAGGTGGAGTCAGTGGCTTGTATCCAGGTTTCAGTGACCGCTAGGAGGTTGAGGGAGTGGGAGATAAAGAGGTCATGGATGGCGGTGAGCTTGTTGCAAACCGATCAGGCATTCAGGAGTGCAACTGAGAATGGAGGGGTGGATGTGGGGAGGAGGGGGACAGGTATTAGGTTGAGGGGGTTGCGGCAGTTTGTGGGAGTAGGAGGGGGTGCCTAGTGGGTGAGTGAGGTGGTGAGGGACCAGGGTTCGGGGAGATGTCCCCGGCGGTTAGGAGAAGAAGGGTGAGAAAGGTGGCATGGGAGCAGGATGTGCAAGAGCGTGTGGGTCTGTTAGTGGTGGCGTGTGGGTCAGTGGGAGAGTGGAGTATTAGGAGGAGGTGTTGAGAGCCGTAGTGGGAAGATGGGAGTAGTGAGGGTGCGATGTATAGTTGTTTTGGGGGAGTAGGGGGGGGGGTAGAGGGAGGAGATTTTGGGAAAGGAGGAGAGGAGTATGAGGAGGAGTACAGGTGGCATATTAGGAGGGTTAGCGGAGTGCTGGTCAAGTGAGGGAGGTGAAAGGTTTCACCTTAGGGCATATTGATGTGGAAAATCTGTCGTGCAGTGGCGGATCCCGTTGAAGTAGCTTCTTGTAGCAGGAGTACTAGTGATTAGGATCTGGGTGGATGAAGATCAGTTTGGTAATTTGCAGGTAGCAAGTTCAAGTCTGTGTGAGTCCCAGGTTGGAGGGTTATGAGGGGGTCATCCGGTGGGCTGCAGGTCAGGATGGGGTAGATCATCCAGTGGGCACAGGAGGTCCGGGATGGTAGGCCTCACGGAGGCAGGGCTGTTCTCCGGGGGTAGGGTCGCTCGCCAAGTCTACTTCGGGGGTGGATAGAGGGGCCTTGGGTCAGGTTTGGGCCATGTCTTGGTAGGCTGTGGCAGGTCTCGCTACTCGGGGGTAGGCAGGAGAGCCTCAGGGCTGGGTCAGGCCACGACGTAGAAGGCTGGGTCGGGTCTCGTAGGCCGGGTTCAACTGTGGGAAGAGAAGGAGGGTGGTGGGCGGCTGGGTCATCTGCTGGCTAGTCGCGGCAGTCTGTAGGTGCTGTAGGGCCCGGCGTCTGTAGGTGCTGTAGGGCCCGGCGTCTGTAGGTGCTGTAGGGCCCGGCGTCTGTAGGTGCTGTAGGGCCCGGCGTCTGTAGGTGCTGTAGGGCCCGGCGTCTGTAGGTGCTGTAGGGCCCGGCGTCTGTAGGTGCTGTAGGGCCCGGCGTCTGTAGGTGCTGTAGGGCCCGACGGTCTGTAGGTGCTGTAGGGCCCGGCGTCTGTAGGTGCTGTAGGGCCCGACGTCTGTAGGTGCTGTAGGGCCCGACGTCTGTAGGTGCTGTAGGGCCCGACGTCTGTAGGTGCTGTAGGGCCCGACGTCTGTAGGTGCTGTAAACCGGCGTCTGTTGGTGCTGTAGGCCCGACGTCTGTAAGTGCTGTAGGCTGTTGTCTGTAGGTGCTATAAGGCCTGGCGTCTGTAGGTGCTGTGGGCCGGCGTCTGTGGGTGCTATAGGGCCCGGCATCTGTAGGTACGGTAGGCCGCGTGGCAGGCCCCCCTCAGCCAGATTGGACGGAGCTATACATATTGATATATACTTTCTATCTGTTATCACCCTTCTTTTCTGTGATTTTTACATTTAATATTTATCTGCATATTTGCCATCATATATGATTTAGATTGGTATTTGCAAACCACACTGTTTTCTGTTTCCTTCAAATTTGGCGGATTTTAATAGAATATTTTGGAATCTATGTAAACCTTAGACAAAATAGCTCTTAAACGATAGGTTCACCTTTGGAACATGTAACATGTTCCCATAGCCGCCCCCTCCCTTTCTCTGACGATAACGGGGAGAAGTTTCCCCGTACTATCTGATTTGAAAACAGCTCGTCTGTGCGGGGCTCCGTCCACACAGCCGGATCACTCATTCACAGAGTTCTGTGAATGAGTGCCTACAAGTCCTGGCAGCCTTAGCAGCTGTCTGCTTGTAGTTTTCAATGAACTACCACGGCGCTGTGGAGCGCCATGGTAGTTCATTCAAGCTTCCTGTCAGAATATCTGCTTGGCCGTACATCCCATAGGGCTAGCAGATATTCTGACAGGTCTGCAGGAGACCTGCATGGCATCAGCGATCTACTGATCGCTGGTGCAATGCTTTCCAGGCTCCTTTGGACAAAAATAATAAATGCACATTTTTTTTACTCCTAAGGTGAACGTATCCTTTAATGTTCCCACCAAATGAAGCTATGTGCCAATCTTAGATTGCAGCTTCACCAAATTTCTGCTTTGCGACGATCAGTCAGAAATTAGTTTATTAAATTGTGTCAGTCAGTATACAGGCCAGTGCCTTTTCTTATCTATAGAGCATTGAAGTCATATGATGGATGGCACCATTGAACTTCTCACAAACCATTTTTCCTTCCATAACAAAATTTTAGCATATTAGTCCTCGGACAATTTGGGAAGCATGAAGAGTCCTTTTTTTCAAGTGTCGGGGGAGGAAGGTATCCTGCGTGTTTGGTTGGCAGGTTTGTGAAGAAACATGAACAATGGAGTACTGTCCGTGATACTTTTTTTATTTGCACTAACATACAATTTTGAGGACAAGCTTTTGGGGAGTGTCCCCTTCTTCAAGGTCCAAGCAGACCTTGAAGAAGGGGACACTCCCCGAAAGCTTGTCCTCAAAATTGTATGTTAGTGCAAATAAAAAAAAGTATCACGGACTGTACTCAATTGTTTCTGTCGCAAATGCACTAATACGGCTACAATCACCTGAAGAAACATGCAATTTGAATGAAAATTTGTTTTCATTCATAGAGGTCAAATATGCATCTCCTGCTTGCCCTTTAAGTCCACGGCTTTAACAAAATGTTTTGCTTAAAAGACGCAAGTGAAGTATGTGATATAGAGCAAACAAAGCCATTCAGAACCATGCTGATTTTCGAACATGCTTCACATGTTTGCTGCTCTCATATTATCCTATTCTAAAGAACACAACTTCTTACATTTTCATAGAGGGGAATCCAAAAGACACCACACAAACTTTTTTTTTACCTCTGGGACTAGGCTGGATTTTGGGACTATTGGTTTTCCCCTCAACACATTTCTAAATTGTGCTTCTATTCACTAATTTGCTTGTTGGTTCCCATTTTTCATTCATTATTTTGTCTTCTGTCCTTGTAGTATTGGTCCAGATCCATCGCTTATCTGTTCTTCTTTCTCATTAGGAGTTCTGGTGGCAAACAAAACAGACCTAACTGGCCGCAGAGTGGTGGAGAAGAATCAAGCTGAAGAGTGGGCAGTGAGCCACGGATTGGAGTATTTTGAGACATCCGCGGTAATTACATCTTGTGTATAAAGCAGATAAGCGAGACAAACTATTCTTGGCTGCTTGCAGTACCAAACAGCTGTCGATCTCAAGAACTATTCTTCTACCTTTTTGCTTCTCTGCATAAGAGAGTTTTGTTAATCCACCCCTTTTTCTGTCAGTTAATCTGGTGTTGGCAGCATCAAGTTTCAGTAGCTAATTGTGCTATCACTTGTTTTGAATAAATCATTTTTTCTTCCAATGTCTTTATTTAGTGATGTGATAAGTAAATGTTTGGCAAAATTAACTCTGATAAAGTTTGAGCAACATTTATTACTTTTAACCCTTTTTTGCTAGCAGTTTTTGAAGGAGGTTCTGCAATTTATATAGCAGTGATGGCATGTTTAGATATATTTTGTCTAGTTTCTAATCTCCTCTTACGGTATGTACCATTTTTAGAGGGTTTTTCACTTTTCTCCAAAAGAGAGGTGAAAAATAATTAGGGCTTGTTGTGTCCCTCTTCTTTACCTCCCACCCCCCTCCCCCTTACTGATGAGGTTAATTGGTGATGAGAGAGCAGATGGAGGGGCCTGAACTTTTTGGCTTTTGGAGAATTGACAAAGTGAGTGTTTCACAGACCCATTGATTTCATTTGGGTTTTAAAGGCGCACTGTGTTGTCCTTCTAGGACAGAAATATCCAACACGTTTCTATTGATATATTGTCTTTTCGTTTCACTCTTCCCAATTTATCCCACATCATTCTGTTACAGTGCTGCATTGCTAACAATAAAGATAACAGATTGTAATTGCAGGGACTGACTGGTTAGGAAAATTCTGTAAACCTACAAAAAGTCTCTAGATTGTAAGAGCTCCTGAACAGTAGTCATTTCTAGAGAGTATTTTAAAGCCCTTTCATTTGATTTAAAAAAATAAATAAGTTACCAGAGTGATTGGTAAACATTATATTTGGTGTGATGTCATTGTAGAAGGAGCTGGAAAACTATGATCAGCCGTTTCGAGCACTGGCAAAAGCATTACATCGTTTGTACCAAGACAGAGCGGAAGGATTCAGAAATCTTCTGTAGATTCAAGCTGTCTTTTTCAAGCTGGAAGATTGGAGGACTACAGTCTAAATCCGGGTTGTATACATTGTCGCCATACAGTTTTTATTAATGTTTGGGTTGTATGGGACTATTGTTGGGGAGAATTAAATTGTTGTGAAAATGTTAAAATTCTAGCAAATATATATTTTTTATATTTTTTTTTTGGTGCTGCTACCTTTTCATTTTATTTTAGATGATTTTTCATTTGTTAAAAAGTAAAAACATGGGTAATGTTCCTATTTATCTCCACCCTGATCAGATAAATTCAGTATACTGCAAGTATCTTAAAAATCCTTTATTGTAGATTCCTATGTACTTTAACCGTTTCCCATCTGACCCATGTAGAAAAATGGCTGGATGGGAGTAGCTTTGAGACAGGAGGGTGTATATATACAGTCTCCCACATCAGCCACTCGTGCATGGCTCACAGAGTGTGCGGCGGCACACCCTGTGATCGTTGTGTCCCTTGGGTACGCAGATCACAGGGCCAGGTACAGAACCAATTAAACTTGCCCTGCAACATGAGATCACAAAATGTAAACAAAGTCTGCAAGGTGTAGCCATCAGTTCTCTCTCCTCACACAGGCAGTGCCTTTGAGAGGAAAGAGAGCTGTTGCAGCCAGCAATCTGTGAGTGATTTGATCTCCGACACAGTGTTTCCCCGCCAAAACACCAGTGTCCTCCACCAATTTACCAATGAATCCAGCTACAGAGTCCCTGTGTTGCTTATTGCTAGCAACAGCAGTGCAGTTTTGACAATAAAGTACTGTCAGCCACAGTGTCCTTGACCGCCAGCACCACTGTACCTGATCAATAGCTACACCAGCCACACTATCACCAGACTAGTGCAGCCAGCCAGTGACCCTGATTATATACCCCGTCAGACGCCAGACTAATATGCATCAACATCAATGTCCTGATCGCCACCATACCAGTGCCAGTGTCAACAGAGCCAGTGAAGCAAGCAACATTGTTATGATCGCTAGTCACACCAGTGCCAGTGTCAGAGGAGCCAGGAAAGCCAGCACTGCCATGTCAATACAGTGTCACCAGAGTCAGCTAATGTAACCTAATCAGCAGCCAGAACCGGTGTCCATAACACCACATCCAAACATAGGTTCACAAGTAGTGAGGCCTTTCATATTCTGAGCATGACAGATGAGAGTAGAGGGGAGGAGAGAATGTTGATCAGTGGAGAACCATCTGATTCAGAGGATGAAATGGTCCCTACAAAAAGAATTGAGCATTTTGAATAGCAGGCAAGCATCAGCAATGCAGCACATCCTGGTAAAGTGGCAAGCACCAGCAGCGCAGTACATTTGGATGAAATGCCAAGTACAAGTAGTGGGTGTCACATCAGCCACAAAGGACAAGGTCCTTACTAATGTTCCAGAGGAACTTTTAAATCCCTCATCTAATTCCTCATCCCCCCCCCCCCCCATACAGCCCAGGCACAAACCGAACATTTTACACCCCTTCAGTTTTTGTATTTGTTTTTCTCTGATAATTTATGCAGTTCCATTTATGCCTGCTTATTTAATTGGAAGTCCATCACATTTGAAGAATTTAAAATCTTTAATGGCCTCAATATAAATATGGGACTCAGAGAAAAATATGAACTGCAGTCTTGTTGGTCCACACACCACACTCACCAATGTTGTTGTATTTCACTGTTATGACCAGGACATGTTATAAAATTATTTATGAGATCCCTGCATTTTAACAAAAATTCCCTCTACTCTCCCCAAAGTCACCACGAATATGATAAGCTTTACAAAATTAGGCCACTTATAAATTATATATCTCCAAAATTTATACTCCTGGCAAACATATCTGCATTGATGCGTTTTCATCTATTTTACAGGCAGGCTGGGCATCAATCTATGCCTAGTAAATATGCCGGATGGCCACAGGGTACACATATGACTTCTGTATTTATGAAGGGAAAGACTGCCACCTGCAGCCCCCTGGATGCCCAACTTTTATGAGTAGCAGTGGAAAAATTATGTTGAACCTTATGTCACCTCTATTCCATCAGTGATACCGCCTCTATGTGTAACAGCTCTTAACACAGTGTGAGCAAATCACAAGGGCTTTCTGCAAAGACTGGAGCCCACAAAGCTAAAAGGTGGAGTTAGCAGGTTTCTATAATGAGGACATTTTGTCCCTTAAATGAAAGGATAAGCAGGAAGTATATTTTGTTTCTTTCATCCACAAAAACACCTCAGTGGAAATGCAAGGAAAGCAGGGTCTGGTGGAAGGACCTCACTTCATTCACAATTACAATCAAGTCATAGGAGGTGTAGAATATAATGGCCAAATGATGACACCCCACCTGGCAACCAGAGGATCAATTCACTGGTATAAAAAAAGTGTTCCTCTACCTATTCCAATCTGCCACTTACTTACCTCATTCTTGGGACTTGCTGTATTTGCTATATGCATTGCTATTTATGGATTTTTGTAAGTAGTTTGAAGTTTTTAATAAATAAAATTGCTTTTATGGTTTTACACTATGCGGCTCTTCTAGTTTATATCTTTATAATATACTGGAGAACCGGAGGTTGACCTATGGATCAGACCTGGAGTGGCAAGTTCCTAGCACCTCTGTGACGGGAGTTTTGGTTGTATTTGAGGCTATTTTTGACTTCTCTGATTTGGAGGGTCAAATTGCTCTGGTAAGAGTGGGGTTTGCATGCAGTAGAAGAACAGAGCAGTGAAGTGTGAAACAATTTGAAGAGCTTCACCTCTTTATTTTGCACTTACATGAGAGATATAGTGCTGAGGCTGTTCATGTCACTGACTTTTAAATGGTGGATGGACTATTTTTGATGCTTTATGAAGATGTATGGTATGCACATTCAATTTTGATTTATACAGTGCCTTGAAGTATTCATACCCCTTGAAATTTTCCACATTTTGTCATGTTGCAACCAAAAATGTAACATTTTTTACAAATAAATATCTGAAAAATGTGGCGTGCATTTGTATTCAGCCCCCTTTACTCTGATACCCCTAACTAAAATCTAGTGGAACCAACTGTTTTCAAAAGTCACCTAATTGGAAAATAGAGTCCACCTGTGTGTATTTTAATCTCAGTATAAATTCAGCTGTTCTGTGAGGCCCTCAGAGGTTTGTTAGAGAACATTAGTGAACAAACGGCATCATGAAGACCAAGGAACACACCAGACAGGTCAGGGATAAAATTGTGGAGAAGTTTAAAGCAGGATTAGGTTATAAAAAATGATCCCAAGCTTTGAACATCTCACAGAGCACTGTTCAATCCATCATCCAAAAATGTAAACCTTATGGCACAACTGTAAACCTACCAGGACATGGCCGTCCACCTAAACTGACAGGCCGGGCAAGGAGAGCATTAATCAGAGAAGCAGCCAAAATGCAACATGCATCACAAAGCAGGCTGGAAAAACGCATTAGCCACAACCTGCATTGAACCTAGCCTTACTCAGATATGTTATTTACTAATGCTGATTTATTAAATGTCCTGTTGGTTCATGTGAAGTGTCTTATTTTTTATGATAGGTCCTTTTTAAGACTCAGTGCTCAGTGTTGTGCTTAGCACGGGGGATGAACATTCTGTGAAATACTGATTACGTAACTCAGAGATCTGTAATATCTTGTCAGCAGGCAATAAACAACAAACAAATTTGAATCTGAATTGTAAGTTAGAGAAAATCAAGGAAGTCTTCAGATTGAAAAGGAAGCATATTTTTATAACTATAAATTGCAGTTTAATTGTGCATTGTCTTGCATGACAATTATTATACATTAGATCAATTTTAAAAATGGAGTTACACTGTCTGGTTAAAGTAGAAATATTTACAAGGTCGTAATTCATTTTAATAGGCTTCATGTAAAGCTATTAGACAAAAAATAATGGCACTGATCTTCACAGAATTTTAAGATCACAGCAGGTTGTCATATACTATAAATTATTTCAAGTTTTTCAAACGTTGGGAACACTAAACCTCAAATAGAAACTCCACCTGTGGGGATAGTAGAGGTTAATATGTTTAGTGCTCAACTGAATATTTTTTGTAGGGGATTACATTCCAATATCCATGATAAGTTTCCTTGAATGTGTAATATTATTAATTAAAGAAAAAAGTATTAAATCTTAAAAGGTGTAGTCAAACCAGACTGATATTTCAGTTTCTGATAGATGCTGATGAGTTAAATCAACTGACTGGGGACCCTATTGGTGAGATTTGTGTTTGGGTCACTGGGTATGTACAACTCCTGTGGTCATTATGGGGACTTTCCATACATCCTGCTGGGTTTTGTTATTTTATGTTTTGGCAAATGCAGACTAGAACAGGGTTAGAAATTATAGCTGGTAGCTCTCAGTATATACAAGAAGCCAGGGACTAAGCCCACCATCACCAAAATATCTCTTTTTTGTGGGTGCCTGTTATTACTTTATTAGCTAAAAGAAGCATTTGCTGCTACAGTTCTGGTTTTAAGTTGTTTTTAAGGGCTATTTAAAAAGAACATACCGGTACTTAATTGCTGATCTTTATTGCAGGATCTTGCTGGCAGTAAGATCCTGCATTTAAAGTCGTCTAGTACGTTGTACACGTGTAATGCTTGTGCTGTTTACATATGTCTACAGCGTTGGTGTATCCTATTGGTCCCTTCCACTGCTCCATGCCAGTATGTCAATATCAACCATGTGAATTCAAATTGTATAATGGGAGTAGGGTTGTCACTCCTTTACAATATGACAAGCAATGACATCACAGCCCTCCAGCTAAGCGTTATATTGAGCAGGAGGGACATCATTATTACCTCTATTACTATGGCTAGATTCAAAGGGTTTATTATTTATTTTAGGGTAGTGGATGTATAAGGGTGAGACATGCAGATCTCTTCTGTCTTAAGAAGGTGTTAAGGTGACACTTGTTTGTTGGAGGAATTTCGGGTTCCTTTAAGTCCATATCACCTTACTGGTTTGTCCTTAA